ATTTCACAATGTATAAAAATATCCAACCACTATGTTGTACATCGGAAACCAATATAATATTGTATGTTAAGTATAACTTAATTAAAAATTATTATTACAAAGCAGCATATGTGCATTGTAGAAAATTAGCAACACCTGATTAAATCAATCCTTCACCACCAGAGACCATCACTACTAGTTAATGCCTAATGCCTATATTCCCAGGTCTTTATACACACACACACACACACAAACACACACACACACCTTTGTAGTTTAACATCAATATGAAGTCCTTCATCCTCAACCTACTTTTTTCAAATAATCTCTACTTTTTCTTTCAATACCTTTTCTCTCTTCTAGTACTTAGACTATGTTTAAAATTCTCCACTTGATCCAAAAATATCACATACAGCTGGTTTGTCCATTCAAATATCAAATATAGGATCAAACTTACATCTGATTTTTATGGCCCTCAAGTTTCTTATAATAGATCATAATCTCTTTTTCACGATCATGACTTTTTAAAGAACTCAGGCTAATTATTTACTACAGAATATATCTGGATTTTTCTGGTTTCTTTGTTATGCTATCATTTAACTTTTCAGTCTATATCCTACATTTCTTATAAACTACACATTATATTAGAGACTTAATAAATCCAATTTTAGTATTTTTGCAAAGAATAATTCATAGGCAATGGTGTGTACTTCATGTGACTTTATATCAAAAGGCACATAATACCTGATTAACAATCATTGACGACAGTATGATTGACTGATTCTTATTCTAAGTTATTTTGTTTTCTTCTCCACTGTACAGATTAAATTTTTTCCTTGTGATTAAAAAATAACGTGTGAGGTTTTCTTCTAGCAATTAACCAACAGGCACTTTCCAATAAACCATTTACTTATTGATCTTGATACCAGTTAATAATCCTCCCCTTAATCTATTAATATAATTTGGGTTTGCAAAATTATTTTTTTCTACTTCGACAGTCCCTTCTATGTTTTATAACTGGCTTTTTTGTAAAACAGCACTTTTCCACAAAAACTGGGATATTTGGTTACCCTGTTGGTGAGGATGTAAGCAACAGAATTACCATAGACATCAGGTGGGACTATTCACACCCCACTTTTGGAAAACAATTTGGTATTATCTAGTCAACTTGAAGATACACACAATCTATGACCTAGCATTTCCATTTTAGGTATAGCATTTTCCACTTTAGGAATTATCCACTTAAAATCAAAAATTTATCTTTGTAAATTAGATATTTTAAAAATAAATGCTAATTGAATCTGTCTCTCAATATTTTAAATAAGGAAAATTATAACGTTCTATATATCACTCAAAACCTCAACCAATTTCCTAAAGCATAACTAATTCACAGTAAAATACATATATATATGTAGCAAGCTGTCATGTTAAGATATAAAATGACTAATGACTAAAGTTTCTTTAAATGATTAATATCATTGTTTTCAGCTTCTCTGCATGCAGTAACATGCTATATTAGTCTGGGTTCTCCAAAACAGCACAATCAATTGCAGATATATATATATATCTAATTGATATATCACATATGATTTACCATAAGGAATTGGCTCACGTGATTACAGAGACTGAGAAGTTCCAAGATCTTCAGCTGAGATACAGAAATCTGGTGAAGACCCAGGAAAGCCAGTGGTGTAGTTCCCATCCAAGTCCAAGTCTGAAGGCAGGAGGAGACCAATATTCCAGCTAGAAAACAGGCAGAGAGAGCAATTCCTCCTTTAATCAGCCTTTTTTTTTTTCCTATTTAGGCCTTCATGAAATGGGTGAGGCTCAACCACATTAGAGAGGGCAATCTGTTAAATTTAGTCTATCCATTCAAATGTTAATCTCATCCAGAAACACCCTAACAGATACACCTAGAATAAAGTTTTATCAAATATCTGGGCAACCCCTCCAGTCAGGATGACACATAAATTTAACCATCACATATGCCCTTTGTTGATTCTGGCTGTGCCTTTCAAAACATTAACACTTAACAATTCTATTTGGAATAGTCCTCTCCCACATAAACATTGTTTTGTTTAAAATGTAGTATTGAGGTTGGGAGACATAAATACAATTTTTTTGTGTAAATTAGCTGACAGGTGCATTGAAAAAACATTGGATATTAAGGTCCAAGAGGTGTTTCATTAGGGAAATGTTAGTTAAAGTATGCAATACCTACCCTAAAAACATGTAAACATATGCACTAGCATACATGTGTAAGAATATTTGCAGTATCAGTGTTATTTATGGTAACCCAAAACTGCAAACATCTGAACGTCCACTTACAGTAGTATGGATGAGTTGTGAAATACTCATACAATGGAATAGTGTATCACTAAGAAAATGATTTAGCCAAATTCTATAGTATGGATGACCTTGCAAGCACAATACTGTACAAAAGAAGATAAAGATAATTCCAGCAATATGAGTCCACTCATATTAAGTTCAAAGCAGGCAAAACCAGACCAGTGTTTAGAGATGCATATATAAGTTGTAAAAGCATAAAGGAAAAGAAAGGTATGATTATCACAATGCCAGAATAGTAGATACTTCCAAAGAGGAGGGATAGAATTATAATTAGGGAGGAAGCCACAAACAAGGTGGGTGTTCTTGGATGCTGCTAAAGTTCTATTTTCTGACTAGGTTATACCAGTGTTTGTTTTGTAAGTATTCATTAAACAACACAGATATATTTTATGAACTCTTCTATAAGTATATATATTTCATAGCAAGAAAAGAAAAAGAGATGAATGGGAAAAGTTAGATGAGGCATTATACAGGAGACACAATTACAGGATGCTGCTGAAGGGCACCAACCTCTGCTTGCTGTATCTGACTATGTGTCAACACATATAATTGAACTGCAGAAGATAAAAATAAAGACAACTAAAATAAGGCAGGGGCAAAAGCATTTTCAAAGGAGCTTACACTTAGAAAATGCTCAAAAACGACCATTTGTTGGATTGGAACTTGATGAATGAAAAAAAGCTTTCATCTAAATAAAGAGCTTAAAAAAACAGTCTAGAAGATAAAAACTGAACACCTTCATAGGAACATAATAGGCATTCATAAAATTATAAAATGTGAGAACACTGAACTAGGCTTTGTGCATTAAATCATGCAGTTCTCAAGACATGAAGATGCCAATGAAATTCAAAAGAAGTCATTTTCAATAATTAAAGAAATTGTATCTTACACAGAAAACAGTAAATTTTCAGTAAGTTGTAATTACATGTGCTTAAATTTTGGTATTGACAGAAAAAAATAACTAAATAAATAATCACCTAGCTAGAATATTCAGCCTCAAAAGAAAGTGTTTCATCGTTTTATAACTGTTTAAAATTCATTTAAAAATAAATGCTTCCTCTGAAAAATTGTGTTCTACACTGGAATTTGACACAACATTGTAAAATGACTATAACTCAATTAAAAAATATTTAAAAAAATAAAATAAATGTTTCTCAATGCTTTGACCAGGCTCTGGCACACAAGGCAAATGTTCAGAAGCAGTCTCCTGACTTCTGATTTCCCATAGAATGCTGCCCTCTGCCGGGAGAGATGATCATATCTGATAACACTTTTCCATTGTATTCAATTTTTGCAAAAATTTCCACTTCTGTTTTCATGAATGAAATGTATCTATCTTTCCCTGAAAACACTTCATTTGAAATTACAGTCAGTTGTAAACTAGGTAAAGATGACTATGATATGTTTTCAAGTAAACAAAAAAATCTATTTTGCAATTACAAAGAAAAATCATAAAAAGGAAATATATATTATCAATTGCATTGCATTATTCAGTATAAAGAAAACACAAACCTGAAATATTTTAAAGTAATTTTAAAAACATGTGTTTAAGGCTAGATATATGAGAAATGGATTTTAAAATTACATATTCTTAAATATTTGGTTTAAACTACTATTCTATAATTAAGCAGCCATCATAGAAAAAGTTTTCTTATTTTAATGATGCTGTGGTCATTCAAAACCAATTTTGAACTGCTTATATAAAATTGCCTTCAAAAGATTTGTTTAAAAGAAGCATACAAAAATCAATCTAGTTATTTTATAATTATATTTTTTGGTAATAACATTACCAAATTTCATCACCAGCATTGCTTACAAACTTGTGAATATCATTCTTGTTTTAAAGCAGATATGATTTTTGGAACTAAAGATTTTCCACCACTGGGGGTATCTGAAAGAATATGACGAATGATTCTAAGAAATTTTGAAAAATGAATTCTAAGAAAAACAATCATTTATATGTAATCTGTCAGGTGTCAGCTTCTGCTTACAATGTAGAAAGTTGCAAGAGAATGTCATTCCTAGTCTAACAATAATAACAAGCCTATAAAATCATAGGTAATTAAAAAATCCATCAGAGAGCTCAGGATGGAAGGAAAATGTTTAATGAATTAAAATACAGAAAGTTACAAGCCTCTCTCTGGAATGCAGCAACCCAACAGCTTCTTAAATTTTTGGTGAAGCAGTAGAAAAGGAGGAAGCTGTCAGAGCAAGAAGAAAGGTAAGAAGAAAACTGGGGTAACTTCAGGGTAAGAAGAAAACTGCTGAACTTTTAAGAAAATGTTATAGACTAAGTGTGAACTAGCATGATGGTTTAAGATCATTAGAACACAGAGTACACCCACCTACAAACGTTTCATAGATCTTCATAGAGTAGTCATGAGAAATATTGGGGCTAGAGTAGGAATGCTGAAAGAAACTTTCAAGCACTCTTGCTTTACAGTGATAGAAGGCAGCAGGCACCTAGCTTTGGTGAAGAGGGACAGGAACACTGAGAGAGACTTGCTCCTCTGAGGTACAGTGTATAGGACCTCACAAACTCTGAGGGCAGGAAAGGAGGACTGAGAACAGCTCTACAAGTTCTCCAGGCTGTACACTGTGGAAGAGTAATGATCATCTGCGCCTGGGAGAAAGGCAAGGAAGCTGAAAGGACTCTCCCCTGAGTTGTAAGCATACAGGGTTTCTTGAAGTCTGAAGGCAGCACAAGCAAACTGAAATGAACTCCTTAGGTATGCGAGGTCTTCCATGGGTACAAAGCAATGACTGATTTTGGCTGGAGCCGAAGCAAGAGAGCTGAGAGACAGCCCTCTGATATGTAGACAAGCATGGCCTGAGGAAGGCTGAGGGCAACAGAGAAGAGTGAGAATATATCCATGTACTCAGATCCCATGTCTGACTAAAAAGAAAATTCTGATCCCTTGTACAAAATATTTGTAGCATATGGTGAAATAAATCTAACTAAAGAAACAGCTAAGCCCAGATCCAACTCAATTATGGACTAAATTAACTCATCTCCTCATATTAGTGGCTTGACAAAAGGGATGTGCCCTTTTCTTGGTATAAATATTATTTGCCTCACTTTCTATTATTCTATTATCAGTGACAAAGCATCGATATGAAACATGAAAAAAGGGAAAAAAATGTGGACTCATTCTCAAGAGACAAAACAGTCAATTAAAATCAGGTCCAAGTGTTAGAATTATCAAAGAAGGACTTTAAAACAATGATAAATATGTTAAGTAATCTCATGGAAAAGGTGAATAGCATGTGTGAACAGATGGGGAATTTGTTCCCCACACATACAGATGAAAACCATAACAAGAAGCCAGACGGTAATCCTAAAAATGAAAAATAAAATATAAGATAAGGAATTATTTTTTGAGCTCATTAGTATACTGAACACATCAGGTGAAAGAATCCATGAATTTGAAGACAAAAGAAATTATCCAAATCAAAACACAAAGAGAAAAGAATTTAAAGAGGAGGGGGATCAGAACATCCAATAACTGTGAAAACAATATCAAATAGGCTATCATCTGTGTAGTTGGAATCCTAGAACAAGAGAAAAAGAGAATAGAGCAGAAGAAATACTGGAAGAAATAATGACTGTCAATTTTCCAAAACTGATGAAATACATCAATCTACAGACCTAAGAAGTTCAATGAAATCCAAGAAGAGTAAATATAAAGAAAACCACACCTATGTATATCATGGTCATAACTGCTGAAAACTAAAGCATAAATATAAGTCTTGAAATCAAAGGAAAAAGGATATATTACATACATTGAACAATAATGATTATGAAGGTTGATTTATCAGAAAAAAAATGGGGATAAGCAATGAAATGGCATAAACTACTTAAAGAAAAATTGTTAATCCAGAATTTTATATCCAGTAAAAATATCCTTTAAAAGTGAAGTCAAAACACACCCTGGATCTGTAATCTGCCTGACCTGACTATTAAAAAAATTTATTACTGTGTCAGCTTGCCAGATAGATCTCCTTGAAGTGTAGCATGAGGCACATCTGAGCATGATTCAAGTGCAGGCTTCTTTTCTTCCCTACTTCATGTTTGTTGAGCTTGGGAAAGAAGCAGTTTTATGTGAACTAAACCCACTCATCCCAAGTGTATTTAATGATAGCAGGATGCGACAGATAAAATAAAATCCTATGGCCTCAAAAAAAAAATGAAGTCAAAACAAAGACATTTGGAAGCAGGCAAAAATTGAAAGGATTTATCTCATCTCTGGCAGAACTGCAATAATAAGAAATATTAAATACTAATGTTCTTCAGTTATTTTCAGTCACTTTTTTGTGTTTCATTGATACAGTTTCAATTACTATGTCTTCAAGTTCAATAATCATTTCTTCTCCAATGTCTAATCCATCATTAA